TGCCCCAAAAAAAATCCCCCAGAACGGCCGGGGCTGGCTCTGGCATTTACAGCAAAGCGGATGCTGAATTTTTTCTGAATTTTTGGTAAAGCAATGCTGAATCCAATACAGAGCCCTCCAAACAACCAGATGAGGATGGAGAGCGGCATTGACTGCCAGGGACCTAGTTGCCATGGCAGGGACCCTGGTCCCCTCCAGTCTATGGACACAGCACAGTGCTGCCACCAGCAGTCCACAGTGTCTTCATGCAAAGTGGAAAAGGCATCCCTTTCTTAAGACACTTGGCTTGCATGGCTCCTAAAATAATCACATACTAATTTTATATAGAATGAGGCACTTACTGCCATTTTCTAGAAAACTGTTATTTAAAAAATGACAAGCCTCTGAGTGTTGACCTGTTATGTTGATGGCAGCCCCTCACACCAGAGTGGAGCAGAGTGGAATCCGCACATCTGTGCAGGCCGGCCCTTTCAGGACACACCCACATCAGCGCTGCAGTCACCAGTCCTGTAACGGCTTTCTCAACCAAGATTCCCTCTTCTGATTGTGAATATTGTCCTTTCAATTCCTGACAGACAGGAATCCCTGCACTGACAGCCCTCATGGCCACGTGCCTGGGACTCAGCACTTCCCGTGGCTTTCGGAAGTATTTGAAAAGCTCTGGGGAGTCCGTCACCACTTTTCAGACCCCAGGGTGGGAAGCTGACTTAGTTTGGGCTGCAAAATACGATAGGGTAGGTGGCTTACAGACAACAGAAATGTACTTCTCACCGTTCTGGAGGTGAGGTGGCCCAGGTAGAGGGCCAGTATGATCGGGGGAGGGCCCTCTTCCGGGTCGCAGACTGCCTACGGACAGTTCTCACTGTCTTCTCACGGGACCAAAGGGATTAGGGATCTTTCTGGGCTCCTTTATAAGGGCACTAATCCCCATTCATGAGGGCTCCACCCTCATCTCCTAATCAGCTTCCAAAGGCCCCACCTTGTAACATTATCACATTGGGGGTTACGATTTCCACCTTTGAATGTTGGGGTGACACAGACATCCAGCCCATTTTAGAAGCCCTGTTGTGGAAGACTGCCGGCTGTTCTGAAACCCAGGCTAGGAGAGTCCAGGTTAAGCTCCCTGACCTCCAGCTCCTAATTTCCTCCTTCAGAAAACTCCAGAGCTGGTTCTGTTTCCACGGAGCCCATGACTTCTCCCACGAGTGGCCCACCATTCCTTCCAGCCTGTGCCCCCTCTCGGCACCACTGGGGTTCTGTGTTTCTAGTCCAGACAAGACAGGGCATCTCATCTGATGGTTTCCATGTTTCTCACCAACATCTGGGGCGGTGGCAAGCTCTGGGTAGGGCCGGCTGCCCGCTTCACTCCAGAGAGATGATGGGCTTCTTGTCACCGGGCCAGGTTTTGCTATTCTGCACACATGTTAAGTAATCAGCTTTTAATCCTATTTCAGCAAAACACCACCTTTTCTCTCAATTCCGATAACCTCCTCATCCATTATCTTGAGGAGACTTTCGGTATCATTATGAAAGGACACAGGGCAGCTGGTAATTGGGTGCTTTTCTCCACTGTTTGATGGAGAATATGGGCCTCTGTGGGCTTGGAGACAACTCAAGCTTAAAACCCAGGTTCACAGACATGTCATTTAGCATCACAGGAAGGTCAGCCGGGGGCGGAGGGGGAGTGGAGCCTTTGTGCCCACCCGCACTTTGAGAAGAGACTGTTGGAGGCTTTGTTTCTTTTCATCAAGATGCTGATCCTGGAACTGTCTCTCTGTCCCATCCCTGTCCCAGTACACGCAGGCACGTGACACTCCGGGTCCCTGTTAGAGCCCCTCCTCCATTCCAGCATTTCCGTCTTACCTTCCCTTCTCTCTCTCCCTCCCCTCTCCTCTCCTCTCTTCTCTCTCTCTCTCTCTCTCTCTCTCTTCTTCCTTCCCTGTCTCTCTCTCTCAGTCTTTCAGTCTCTGTCTCTCTGCATCTCTAATCATATCTCTCCTGTCCAGTCTCTCTTTTCACTCTCAACATTGCCTCTTTTGCAGGTTCCTAGGAGAGGTGGGTCAAGAGTCAGGATTTGGGGGAAGCAATGGTGCCTGGTTCAGCACCATGGACAGCAGGCAGCCCCACCCTTCACCTGCCTGTGTTGTCACCTACTCCAGCAGCTAAGTCAGGAGGGCTCCCTGGGGCCCGATGCACCCATGAATCTGACCTCCTTTACCCAGGGGTGAAATTCCAGAGCACTGGTCTTTCTTCTCAAGATATTTCAGAGCTGAATCCCTTTGTTCTCACTCCTGGCTGTTTGCAAAGCAAGAGCCTAAGGGCCCCAGGTTTTCTGAATAATTGTCCCCAGGTTTTCCTCTGGTCCCCATGTGTTGACATATCCCGAGGAGCTTTTCCTGTCTGCTGAGCAGACAGAAGATTTCCTGGTTGATAAGAGATATCTTGAAATCGGGCTTTAGACTGCTGGGGCAAGATCATTAGAGGAACACTCAGGACATTAGACTTCTGAGCAGAATTCAGCCAGTCTGTGAGAAACATCCAGTGCACTGAGTAGGACCAGACCGAAAGAACAGATGAGTTTCCGAGAGAGCCCCTTCGCAGGCAGGGGGTCCCAGGCAAGGACCTCACCCGGCCCATTCGAGGGAGGCAGGAAGTGGTCTCAGGCTGGTCCCTCTCTCCCCTGCAGTCCTTCTTCCACACGGTCCTGGAGAACAGCCCCCACTGCGACACCATGGTGGACAACAACCTGCGCATCACCAACTGGAACCGCAAGCTGGGCTGCAAGTAGAGCCCCTTCGCAGGCAGGGGGTCCCAGGCAAGGACCTCACCCGGCCCATTCGAGGGAGGCAGGAAGTGGTCTCAGGCTGGTCCCTCTCTCCCCTGCAGTCCTTCTTCCACACGGTCCTGGAGAACAGCCCCCACTGCGACACCATGGTGGACAACAACCTGCGCATCACCAACTGGAACCGCAAGCTGGGCTGCAAGTGCCAGTACAAGCACATCGTGGACTGTGATCTGGGGCAGAGTGTCACCCTCAGCACCAGTAACACTGTGGCTGGATAGCCCATGCTGTGGGCTGTCCTGTGCACTGCAGGCCATTGAGCAGCATACCTGGCCCTACCCACTGGCTGCGGGCAGCACACTGCAGTGTGACAACCAGAAATGTCTTCAGGCATCGCCACACAGCACTGGGGGCAAACCACTAACCTCCAGTGAGGTCCAGGAATGTTTAATAGATTACACCTCGGGGAAGTTCTGATGAGCAGCCAGGTTTGGAAACCAGCACAATCTGTGAACTGGAAGGAGTAGCGGGAGGCAGAAGCGTTACTGTCCTCACAGGTATCCCTGCATGGCCTCCCTTACAGTGGTGGGGAGAGCAGAGGCAGGGGGCGATACATGCTCCGTCTGCTTCCCTTGAGCCCCCAGACCCATCCCGAATGGCACCGTTTCCATCCTGTGTGAGCACCCTAACCTCCAGGAATGTTTAATAGATTACACTTCGGGGAAGTTCTGATGAGCAGCCAGGTTTGGAAAACAGCACAATCTGTGAACCGGAAGGAGTAGCGGGAGGCAGAAGCGTTACTGTCCTCACAGGTATCCCTGCATGGCCTCCCTTACAGTGGTGGGGAGAGCAGAGGCAGGGGGCGATACATGCTCCGTCTGCTTCCCTTGAGCCCCCAGACCCATCCCGAATGGCACCGTTTCCATCCTGTGTGAGCACCCTCCTGCTCACCATGCTGGACCCCAGCTGCAGAAGGTACACACAGGAGGCTACAAAATGGTCAAACACGTCACTCTGAGGTCACTGGAGCTATCACGTGGAGATGGTATGCTGCTGCCCAAACCGCTAACCCAGAGGGAGAGTGGGGACGGCAGTAACTGAGGGGCCCCTGCTGACTCACTGGCACATAACTGAGCCGCTGCCCGTATGGGGCTTCAGTCTCTAGCCTGGCTCCTCGGTGTGTGGTCCTGGACCCGCAGCATCAGCGTCGCCCGGGAGAGGGTTAGAAATGCATTGCGTAGTGTGCGGCTTCAGACCTGCTGAATCAGAATGTGCAAGAGAACGAGATCCCCAGGGGGCTGGGAGGCTCTATACGTTTGGGCACCGGAGGTGGGATCTGCTCTCTCCCAGGCTGTGTGCCAGGCCCCCCGTAGGCATTTCATTGGCTTCCCTGGGGTAGGCATCATCCCCATTGTGCAGGTGGGGAAATTGAGGCACCGATGGGCAAACTTACTTGTCCACAGACACACGTAAGGAGTGGTAGGGCTGAAGGTCCCACCCAGGTGTTCCCGGGTCCAGCCCCCGGCTTTTTGCACCCACCCCCGCTGCCTTCCTGGCTTTGTGTCTGCACAGGTGCAGCATACACAGCAGGTTTCACCCCTCAAGGTTTCCATTCCCTCAAGGTCCCCACCTAATGTCTTTCGCCTCTGTAAGTGGTTGCTGCAATAGTATTTTTCTAGACCTTTTTATTTATTTATTTTTTTGGTGGCAGATTGAGAGCTACCCGGGGACCTCCCCAAGCCCATGTTAATTTGGGCATAAACTTGGGTGACATTTTCGCTCCATTGTCCATGTAGAAAGGATTTGCTGAGCAGCAGGAGGGCTGCAGGGGGAATATTTGACCTGTTCAAAAGGAAAAAAAGAATCCCCTTTTTAGAGGACCCGTCGTTGTCCTCACACAGAGGACCTCCTCATGCAGATAAAGTCCGTGGTGGTTCCGGGGAGCGCGCCCTCCCAGCCTGCTTGCTCTCGAGCGGCAGCGTCTGTACTCCAGGCCCAGCATCCCGCGGACCGCGGTCTCTGATAAAGACTGACCAGCACAGACACAGCTCTTTCTTCCACAGCAAATAGAGATCAAGAAGATCCCCCAACATCTAGAATCAAGAAATTGCTGCCTATAAGGAACTCGGAGTTCTTGTTCAAAGAACTCCAAGGAAGAGGATGATAAATATAGAAACATGCCCTTTTAGAAAATCCAGCTATGATCAAAGAATCGTGGGTGAGGAAAGAAGGCTGCCCTGCCACTGAATTCGATTTTCTGCCCCCAGAAAACCAAGACTTAGAAGCCCCTGGAAGCAGGCTCAGGCCAGGGGGATGGGAGGGGTGTGATAATGGTCACATAGTAATAGCGCTAACGCTGTGTGCCACACTCTGTGCTAAGTACCCATATTATACCCATTTTAAGGATGAGGAAGCTGAGGTCCTGGGTGACTTGCCCAGAGGCATATACAGCTAGAAAGTAGCAGAGTGAGGATTTGAACTGACCTGGCCACAGAGGCAGGATGTCCCAAGGGTTCATGATGCAGAGAAGTGATGGGATGTTCAGAATAATACAACAGGGTTTTGTGATCAGGAGCATCCAGTTTACTCAGTTAGCAGCGGGGTCCCAGGATGGTGCCGTAGAAAGAGCTTGGGTTTGAGGAGCATCAGATTCAGGTTCAAATCTTATGACTGTGTGAGTTTGTACGTATCACTGCCCCTCCCTGAGCTCAGTTTCCACATCTGTAAAATGGGAATCGGAATACCCACTTTGCAGAGTTGTTGGGGGATTTGAGGTGATGACATAACTGCAGTGCTTGGTAATTATTGCCATGATTGTTTATTCACAACAGCAAAAACAGTGCTAGACCCAAACTTAGCTCAATAATAACACTTAGACCATAAGCTCCTCAAGGGAGTGGCTATGTTTGAATTGTTTCCATAGCCCTAGACAGGGGTCAGCAAACCAATCTGGGTCAAATCCAGCCCACTGCCTGCTTTTGTAAGTTCTTTTGTAACACCCATTCACCTGCTATTATGCCCATGGCTACCTTCACCCTACAAGTGCAGCGTTGAATACTTACAAAGCTAGAAATAATTATTATCTGGCCCTTTACTGAAAAAAAATTGGTTGATCCCCACCCAGACCATAGTATAAGATTTGATAGGTAACAGGTACTCAGTAGTTTATTTCTTTAATCCTGGACCCTGGGTTTTAATCCTGACTCTGTCATTACCTTGCTATGTGACCTTTGATCAGCCTCTGTTCCTTGCTGGGCCTCAATCTCCTTGAAAATTTGGCCTACATAAATGGTCTTCAAATTCTGCATCATAACCACCAGGGGAGCATTTCTGGATTCAGATTCCTAAACCTCATCTCTGGAGATGCTGCCTCTGCTGTTATGCCCAGGAGACGATAGGGAGTGGTGGGGACTGTGGTGAGCGGAAGAAGCCATGCCCGTCTAACGGGACAGCTGCTTTCCAGCTTTAAGCAGTTCTTACCATGCAGAAACAGGGGCCTGGGGTTGCTGGATCTATTTCTGTTTACAGGGAAGCCAAGAATTGTTTCTGTGAAGTCTTCTACTTTTTAAATATTGCCAGCTAATTCAATTTTAAAACACTCTGCTGGACAATTAAAATATATCTGTAGGCTGTATTTGCCCTAGACCTTCAGTTAAATGATTTTGGAGACCCATCCCAGCTGTGAACACTGGGGTGTGATTTATTTAACAAACATGATGCTTCCCAGGCGCCCATTGTTGCTCCAAATGCCTTACCAACATTAACTCATTCCATCCTAACACCCTTAGTATTGTCTTCATTTAACAGAAGAGGACACCGAGAACAGAGGCAGGCAGGCGGGCTGCAGAGCCCTACTCCCGCCTCCCCACACCCATCCTACCTGCTGACGCTAATCTTTTTATTCCTTGAGCACAGCAGACAGCCCGGCCCACCTTCTTTGCCCGAAAGTTCGAAGCCGTGGTGAACCAGGAGATCATCGGGCAGCTGGACTATTACCTGTACGGGAACTACCCCGCAGGCACCCCTGGGCTCCGCTCCTACTGGGAGAACGTCTATGATGAGCCTGATGGCATCCACAGCCTCAGTGACGTGACGCTCACCTTATACCACTCCTTCGCCCGCCTGGGCCTCCGTCGGGCTGAGACGTCACTGCACACTGACGGGGAGAACAGCTGCAGGTGAGCCAGGTTGGCAAGTGGCGGAGGGACAGGGAGGGGGCCAGGGAGGAGGGTGCAGACCTTCCTCTGTTAGGGGCTGCGTGCTTCTCCCTCGCGTCCTTTGCCTAAAAAGCACCTACACAACCATCCTGGCGCTTAGAGCATGTCCTGTCTACCCTCCACACTGTCTAAGCCACTGGTTCTCAACCTTCCTAATGTCGCGACCCTTTAATACAGTTCCTTGTGTTGTGGTGACCCCCAACCATAAAATTATTTTCGTTGCTACTTCATAACTGTAATGTTGCTGCTGTAAACAATATGTAATTATCTATGTGTTTTTCCGATGGTCTTAGGCGACCCCTGTGAAAGGGTCGTTCAACCCCCAAAGGGGTCGCGACCCACAGGTTGAGAACCGCTATTTTAAACGCAGGCTACACACTCAAGGGGCCAAAGAGCCGCATGTGGCTCGTGAGCCACAGTTTGCCGACCATGGGTCTAAGCCATCAGCAGAATTTTACTTTTTCCGAGTATCAGATCTAATGCTTACCCAATTATTTCCTTCCAGTGGGCTCATTCTTTTATGTTAAGCATATGTGGTATTTTAAAGGGAAGCTCTATGTCATCCTATTACATAGTTGTATTTGTCTTAAATGGAAGGTAACCATGGAAATACAGAACTTTTTTTTTTATTGTGGAAAATGTCAAATATATTCAAAATAGAGAAGAGAGTGAAACCCCATGCTCCCACCACCCAGCTCTCCCATGACCAGCTCCGGGCCAGTCCCGTGTCACGGCCCCTCCTCCCAGATCGGTCTGATGGAGGCACATCCCTTACATCACATCACCTCAGCCATAAATATTTTAATGTATGTCTCTGAAAAGAAAGACTCCATTTTCACACATAACCATGTTATCATTACCACACCTAAACATATGACCAAAGGCATCAGCAAGATGCAGAACTATTGTTTAAAGCGCTTGGGTACCCCTGAGAATCATCCACCTCACCTGCCACTAGCAGGTGCAG